ACACCGTTATCTTCAAATGCAAATTAATGTGATCGCAATTGAAGTACTCGAAGTATATTATTATAATATATGTGTTCGCATACAATAATTAAGTAAACATAAATATAATATAATATAATATAATACTAGAAAAGAAAATAACTCAATAATATTATTTACTATTTAAAAATTATTTAGCCTTAAGGTGAATCATAACATATTTTGTTGATTAATATTATTATTGCAGTACATAATATAAACACGATAGAATTTCGTTTTGTTGTACCAAAATATACTTCATATAATATAGTCACGTACTCACGTCATACACTTTCATTTTAATACATTTCCTTAAAATTGGGTAGTTTTCTTGTAAATTAAATTTTTACCCGTCGAATGTTGTTATGCTTCGTATATTATACTGCCCGTGGCGTCTATTATTAACTGTAGAGCCACAGTGTTTATTGTTATTTTCTTCGTAGGGACCTATATATTATATTACACAATTTCCGCCCAACCAGCTCATCTGCCAAACATGCGACAACCGTCTTCTGCGAAAAATTATAAACTGAACCTTAACTGTAACCGTATTACACTATGAACTTGGCAATATTAACCGACACCGCCATATTGAAACAATTATTTGAAACCATTTTTATTTTGTGACATACCTGCTAATGGTGCTCAGATATAGCCACGCAGGACTGAATATGTGTTACGACTATAGATAGAACAAGTGATACGGGAAATATATCAGTGCCACGCGCAAGAAGGTTTCGTATAGGTTAGGTACCATTAGTGTGTCGGGCTGAGGAGTGAGGATGCACATTTTAATGTTAAATTACTGAGGGTAATGGCAGGGTATGTGGAGCGAAGAGCCACTTGTCTTTGTGAAATTGAATCAGTGGGTTGTAAGCACTTAACATTGACCCTTTTTAAATATTTTCAAGTGTGTGCTAGTTGCTTAGAGTAAAATTATTTTGAAATAAATTGATGAAAACTCGTTTGTATATCGTGATTTCATAATACAATTTATTGGACATATTATTTATACACTTTTGATAGAAATGTAACTATGCACCTATTTATATGTCAACTTTCTAGAGATTTTTTCAAGACTTGCAGACGTCCATCGAATACCTGAGTTATATTATGTGTCACATTATACCAACTGTAAGTTTAAAACGAACGAAAAACGTTGAAAAATTGTTCGAAATGTGTAACTAATTTACTATTGTATGTTTTTTATTAGTACCTATTCAAAAGTGACATTTCAAAAACGTGTTTTAAAAATTATGTTTTATTTTAATACTGAGATTAAAGCTCCGAGTTCGTGCTGAATCAACAAAAACTAAATGTATAACAATTTAAATCGTTATGAATGTAAACAAACGTTGCATGACTTTGACAAAACTAAGCACTATGTATTTCTCTATTTGATGAAAAGTCATTATTCATTCCCCCCCCCCCCGTAATAATTATTTCATGTAAATCAACCGAACGAAATGAGTCGTCGAATTAAAATATCGCCGTCAAATGTTACAAGCGATTTTTTACGCCTCAAACTATTTTAGTTGCATTAAATTTTCCGGTCTGTTGCTTTCAACACGAAACGGGGTGGATTATTTGAAAAAAAAAAAATAAGCTATACTCTAAATTTAAGAACTACCCGGCCCCTAAGCACATTTTAAAATACAATCCGTTTTAATGGTTCTTGTCTGTGGTGGGTAAAACCCATCAATTACTTTTTCGTTTAAAAACCACGTTGGGTACACAAATGCATATTCCCTTGGCCTTGGGCAAAACGTCAATCTCTAACAACCATGAAATTGATTTTTGATGTTGTTATAATATCACGTGCAACGTTTTACACCTAAATGGCTGTATGTCCGTGTCAAACCCCGTGCCGGGGCGCAGCGGCAGACCCAGACGTGTGGTTTTTATGGCCATAAACACTCAAGGACTTAATAATTTTTACTCCGAACGTTGCAGTTTTGGCATTGGTGATTGATAATATTATTACTATTCGTTTTAATATTACAACAATATGTATAAGGAATCATAACGTCACACATGGGTACCTACTACTGTCAAGCGGTTTCGAGTAATTTTAATTTCTCCATACCTATAAGTTACCGTCAAAATAATAATAATATTATAAACACACGGTACTACGGTGTTTGTGAAGCTGCCGTGTACTTTTTTTCTGTATGATTTTTCCAAAAAACAAAAAAAAATACAAAGCTAAAACGAATTATTCTCGACATGGTATTTTTATTGTAAATGTGCTACATTTATTCCCGGAAAACTTGTTTACAGTACACATAATGTAAGCTGATTTGCAATTTAAGTACTATTGCGATATTATTAAAACTTTTGTTCACAAATCCACTGGCAATATTCAATATTTTTACGAATATAACAGCGAGAACACATCTGCGAACATAACAGTACTTTTGTTAACAAAAACAAGTTCAATTGAAACGTGTGAAAAATCTATTGTAAATATAAATTCTAATAAAAGCATTGTCAGTATAAACAAAGATGGAATGATAAATTGATTTGTTCTTTTTTGAACAACTCTTATTAATTTAGTATCAATATTGTAAATGTTTAAGAATAAGATTTATTACTTTTATGCAATATTTGACTCTAAAACTGTAAAACAATACTTAAGAATTACAAAAGTATAAATTCTCTGTTTCAGTACCTACACCTAACAATTAGTGAAAACAGTTCTGAATGCTGACGGGTGGTACCTACATCATTATAATACTATGTAATGTCTTGACTAAAAAAATTCACATTTTTGTGAAGTTGATGAATTGTGTCAATATTTTAAGTGTAAATGTATATAAAAAAAAACCCTTCATTGTAATATAATCTTCAATATTTTTTAACCACTAGTATAATTCTTATAATGAGAAACCTTCTATTACATTTTTTAGCTGTTTGATATAGTGAACATTTTTTTTATTGATTATCAGAGAATTAAAAATAAATGCCTAAAAAGTAAAAATAGTTCAAAAAGAGTATAAATGTTTTGAAAGTTGTATGGTGTGTAGAAAATTCTAATATAAATATTCGGCGAAAAAACATGTCTCTACTGTTATTTTTTTCGAGGCGCAAAAAAAAAACGAAATTGATTTTGTCAAAAACAGATTTGCATCAAAGTTCCTGTTTTCTTTCCTTTTTTTTTCTAACAATTTCAAAAAACTACCTAGAATTTCATACTTCAACCTATCGAATGCACTAACTAGATGCACTAAGCCAGGAAAGATACTGAATTAAAGTCCAAGCAGTATTTTGACATAAAAAAAATCACACATCATTGAAAAATCAATACATTCATAAAATCAGAATCTAAAAATACATATAATTTTTACTGTCTCATGATTTCATATTCTTTCTTACTCTTATCATTTTTCTAGTTATTACCAGCCAGGTATTGCAAATAGTTTGTTAGAGTGTCGATTTGCATAGGTATCAGAATAATATGTCACTGCAATGTGACCTAATGAATAGCATATTACAATCACTGTTTTCAGATACATATAAATGAATAATAGTAACTTAACAATTTGATTTGAAATTTCAGGCCTGATAGTCTTCTATGTTATATCAAATCAAAACGGATGCAGTGCAAATAATAGTAAACAAAAGCAAGTTACCTTTTTTGTCTGTATTAAATACAAATTCAAACGGACTGTACTGACTTAAGTATTTTCTAGTCCTTACAAATATATTTTATTATATATTATATTTTTAAAAACGGTTTGTGTACACAAATCCGTATTTTTGAATGTCACCGACAACCGACAATTTGTTTTTTACGTTTAATTTATCAGAAAAACAATATCTGTTCGGATATGGTCTACGGTCATATTTCGTTCGCCGTTTTTTTTTCTCTATGCCAAACGTAATCAATCATCGATGCGTCATGGCGATGACACATGATAGGGGAAAAAAACAAAACTCGTGTTCAGCAACGGTATTACAGCCGGGGATTATGAATTATTAATAGGCGTCATCGTAATTACACGGAAGGTGCATGGAATGTCAAAAAATTCAGGAAAAATGAACATGAACTACGGCTTTCAAAGGGTTTACGACAGGAAAATATGATGAAGAGATAAAGTTTAACGTATTTCTAAAGCATTCCTAAAGTATCCGCTCGACAAAAAAAAATGTACCTACCAATATTACATCAGTCTCGCCTTTTTAAAATCATTATAAATACTATTTTCGATCAAATATTTATTTATTTTCTCTTATAAACAGTTAAATATACTAAATTCAGTGCTACAATTAGGTATCCAAAAGTGATTTTTGATGATTTGTTAATACCATATAAGAAACATCTATTTCAATGTTGATTTGGTATTTATTTATACGTATAATTATAGTATACATAACGCATTTTCATTTACGAATAAAATATACACTTATTAATGACCATATATGTATATTTGATTGGAAAGTCTACCATATAACATTGTATTGTGTATCACAGTATTCATAATAAATTCCTTCATTATAAATAGGAATCAGTTTTTCGTTTTATAATTAGGTATGGTAAATTTAATAATGGAAATAATATCTCAGAAGTTAAATCTCGTTTAAATACTTATCTATATTAAACTATTTTAAAATTATTGTTTTTATTAAAAATAAATTAAAATGTCAACAAACTTATCGAATGATATTTGTACGCTGTTTACACTGTGCCCAATTAAATCTCGCTTTGTTTAGTTGAGTTTAGAACTTTTATAAACGACATTAATATACTTGAAATATCTCTGTTAAGGACAGCATAAAGGGTCAATTACTGACCCCTGTCGTGTAAATTACATTGAAAATTTCAATGTATACAGAAGACTAACAGTGTGTACCTACTGAACTATTGTGCTTAACCCGAATTAACGTTCACAGGCTCTATATCAAGTATTTCAAACACGCATCGCCTCTAAAAATGATCACGTTCAAATATTTTATTTTTTAATCGTAATTTATTTACTTACCCAATATTCCTAGTCTGTAATTTATGGTGACTACTACTAGACCGCCATAGCTTGCCAAAACTGTGCCATCGTATGGATTCCCCGAATTCCACTCGTACGATTCGCCGTGTATGAACACGAGCACAGGCTTCGGTGATATTTTATCTGCACTTCCAAAATTGACTGTGACATAAAACAAAATAAAATTTCAATTATAAATTGTTCGTTTTGTTAAAAGTAAAACAATTTAAAATTATATTATTCTAAGCCCAGTCAACCCTCATTTACTGCAAATGGGTATCTTTAAAAATGCGGAGTACGATATTTAAACCAACTATTAGTAAAGTTTCAGTTGAAAATTTAAACGATTTTGTTTTATCTTTAAATTTTTTAATATATTTGTGTTTATATTTTTATGTACGTATTGTGTTTGTAGTTAAAACAAATAAAATATCTGACTTTGTTACAATACAATTAATTTTTTTTTTGCCATTATTTAATTAACAAAATATTCTAACGTCGTAAAATTATTTACATCATGTAAACACATAAAATATAAAATACTAAAGACTAAACTACAGAATTTCGTAAACAAAAATGCAACTTTTGTTGCCCTTCTATCGATTCTGGGTTTCGTCCAAAGTTTTCCATGATGGCCAATTATATCCAAAATTCAGTAAATTCTCATTAGCTTTCAACTTCATTTTTTTTTTTTTTAAATGCCTCTTCTCGAGTTTTTGTCTTGTATCAATTAGTGAAACCAATTATCGAATGGAAAAAAAACCCCTTACATATTATAATATATTATCCGTCTATACATTTGGCTCTCAAATATTCAAGAACTGTAAAGATTACATAAATAAATAAGTTAATTTAAATTTAAAGTTTATAATCCCGAGTCGTTTTAACATGTAACGACTTCAGTATATATTAAAGTATTATACTTTCAACAAATTAATATAAAATATGTTAATTATTCCAAAATAAAACTCAGTAGTAAACACAGTAGCAAAGTATTTATTGTTCAAGTATAAATCTCCAGATTTAATTGTCGCGTCGTTTCGATTGTATAAATACTATAAACGCTTACTATAATATTATGTATTATAGTACACCGAGGGAGTGCTAATGAGCGAAAAAACAGTTGTTTCCATAGTAGGCACTATAATAATATTGTATATTATTAAAAGTCTTCACTGAGCGTAGGCACTGCTGCGACAACGACGATGATTATAATAGAATTGTAGGTAATCGGAATAAGTTACAAAGTATGACATTACACGTCGAAACGAGCAGAGAAAGGATTTCGAATTATCATAAAATTATACAGGGTTATTCACCATGCATGATCACCCCTACGTTTTCCTTTAATAATACATTTATTCAAATTCTGATTTTTGGAATTTTTAAATATACCCAAAGACCATATTTTTATGTACCTACTTCAAAATGTGAATGAGTACCTAGTTTCTTAGTCATAAAAATGTTAGCATTATGGATAATAGTCCTTCAAAATGGTTGTACAAAAATACAAGATAGTCGTAATATTGGAATTTGTATTTATTAACTTGGGTCATTAAAAAAATATTACTGTCGATTGATTAATAATATTTACTAAAATACTCAAATCAACAAACCCACATATTATCTTATAAAGCCATTACGGTTTGGACCTTTTATCCTTATAACACCAAAACTATTCGTACGAATTCCTACGTAAAAGCGTACAGAAAAATTATTCACTGTATAATTTATAGTCGAAAAATGGTGTTCTTAATTGAAAAATAGCAGAGGTTTGTATTTCCAAAACGCACTCCTCAACTAGTATACAAAATCTCAAGAATTTGAAAATATGGTCTTAAAGGATATTTAAACATTCTCAGATTTTTAAGTAACTGTTTGATTGCGAAGAATGAAGGAGGTGGTGAGCATGCTCGGTGAACGACACTGTGTTATTAATATTTACTCGGGTTGTTCTCGGCGCTGCAGCCGTCGGAAATTTTGGCGATTCGGGGTGCTTTCGTCTACTAGGCGTCAGACGTACAACATGACAATTCGGGGGGGGGGTGGAATGTATGAATCAGACCGGACAAACCGAATCGCAGCCCGCGGGATCAATCGTCGGCGAGCGGCGTACACAATGTGGATGGGGGTGGCGTCCAAGTATACCCGCGGACTGCAAGCGATCCCTGTTGGGAATATCATAATATATACCGTCGACCCGTGAAATCAATTTGCTCCCGAATAGATTTGTGACCCCTGCACGAGGACGGGGGCCTTAAATTCGTTTACCGGAAACTACAATAATGATGACAAATAATGGACTGGGTCGCCATGCCGGTGCCGGGATGCACCGCCTTTACTTCCACCTCCGCTACCCCGATCGTCATAACCACCTCACCTCCACGACGGCCTCCCACCCCCACCACCACCATCACTGCTGCCACCACGTCCACGGCCATCGACGACCGTTGTTGTTCGGTCACGTTTCATTAACACGGTTGCGGTCGCGGGTTTTACGCGCATCTCGCGGGTATCGTTGACGTGCAAAACCATTCTTCTTCCTGCACAGCCACCGGCACGGCCCTGCACAACCTCCCCCCCCCCCCCCCAGTGACGACCCTGACAAAACAACTCGGCCGGCAAAATTGACAACATTAATACATTATAACCACGACCACTGGCGTTATTTTTCTTTCGTACCGACAATTACTCCGCCATCCAATAAAGCACAAAAGCACAACGTAAAACGATGACGTAGTATTATTATGGTTTTAAAAATTAACGGATATTATATGCATATAGGTGTATATATTGTGTATAATTTGTAACTATAAGTAGGTTTTTTTTTCAATAAACAGATGGATTATTGTTAGTTGTTACAGAATAATTATTATGGTGTATTGTCTTTAATATTTTTAATTAATTTTTAAACAAAGCTCAGGGTTAAACGAGATGGGTTTTTTATTAATATAATATGTCATAACTACTAACAAAACGTTTACGCTTCAACTTTATACCATTCACTGATTTTGGAAATCATAATTTTCGTTGAATTTTTTCAATATGCTATTAACCTATATACTATAATATATTAAAATTGCTAACATTATTTTCTCTCCGAGTTTAAAAAAAAAACATTTTTTAATTTTTGAACTTACATTAAAACCTGAGTATGCTGCTTTGTATAAAAAATATTTGTGTTGGCGTTAGCATTCCATTAATGCAGGTGTCTATAGCTGATGAATAATACATTGTGAATAGTTTACTGCTGTTAAATTTTTTATACTTGGTGTGATAGTTATTCTGAATTCCAATCACCGACGGCAAATATAATGATGTAATACCTTAACAGTTAATTAAATCTAAATATATAAACGGTATTTGTTTTTGACACGAATAATAAGGTGTTCTTTTGAAATATATCAAACGAATAATAGCATTCTAAAATTATTGAATTCAAAATAAAACGATAAAATAATTTAAAAGAACTTCTCTAAAAGGAATCACACATATACAATTCAAAAAACAATAGGAATAACGATGTTGGTAGTTAATACAATATGACAATATGATACAATGATAAAAATTGTTTTATTGAAAGTCAGGTGCTAAAATCGGAAATTAGGGTATCACATAGGAAATCTAAAATACTTTTGTTATAGAATGTAGGAGGCATCTATAGCGTAATATTTTTTTACTTAAAAACCAAACTGATGTGTCAATACATCGTAATTTTAGTTCATCTTGTACTATTTTATAATTAGTTTGATACTAATAATGTATTCCATATACAATAACATAACATTCACTTTCGAAGTAGTAATGGACAAACGGTTCTCGCATTATATGGTAGCACAACACTTTTAGTACCTACATAATGACTGCATTGTATTCGACTCAAATAGACTACTAAATATCGTTATTCTATGAGCCCAATTTACACAAGTTAAATGTTTATACTTTATATGAAAGAATAAATCCAATTTATTAAGTGTATGTTTCGAGCCATTTTTAGTTTTTTATTCTTTATTATAATTATTGTTGTTACTGTTGATCTGATACAATAGATTGAACTATTTTATATTTTTTGAATTCAATTTTCGGTGAAAATTTTCTTTTGAAAAAATATATAATTTAGTGTATAATATTGGCATTTGCGATAATTTATAATTCATCTATTTGGCGCAATGTTATCTTTCAACTGCCAATTTTGTCTTTTCGATTCAATATTTTAACACTAACGAACAGGTGCATTGTCGGAGCGTCTATTTCCCCTCACAATAACTACCATAATAACCATGTATAGGAACATTTCTTAGATCATTCGTAATTCGATTTCATCGATCAAAGGCAACAAAACTACCATGTGCCTACCCCCAGGGCAATGAAAAGAGGAAAAAACCGTCAACTTTGATGAACGAAATAAAAACCTAACGGTTATCTAATATTTTTATCTGACACTCTAAAAATATTACTTCTAATACATCAGAAGATATTTTTTTTAAAACTAAATTTTACTTTCTATTTTATTAAGACAACCACAGAAGGAGATATCAGGAATAAATTGTTAAAAATCAATTTGATTCTATTATTTTTAAAATAGGAATTAAAAAAAAATGAAACAAAAAATATACTTATTTAGATAACATATGGCTTCAATAAATCCATTGATGCAGTAAAGGTTTTTAAGCATAATGCTGATGTGAGCTTAAAAAACAAATCCAGCATGTATGTTAATTGCACATAAATTAACATAATATAAAAAAAATAAAAAATTTAAATTTTTAATAACTTATAAAATTATGTATGGAACAACCTAATCTGTCTAATTCAAATCCCCACAGTGGGATAAATTACTTAAATTGTGTTCATTAATATTTTTTTTACTTCAAACAATGGGCTTTTATTATAAACAACCGATAAGTCTGTTTAGTCAGTCCTTTGAATGTTTTAAATATATATAAATGAGATCTCAGCGTATTGTGCTAACAATACGTGCATTAAGTTTGACGTGAAAGTGACAGAGTGCGTCAGTTTTGTACAATCAATTTAAAATACTGTTAATGATCTTTGAATATAATTGACATTAGACTTTTTATTTTATCAAAAATATTCATATAACTACAAAATAAAAATTATACATACAAATAACAAGTCATTTTTCTTAATCAAACGAATTA